AGAGAAGTGGGCACACAGGGGGAGCGAGGGTGTGGGGTTAAAATGGGGGCGTCGTGAACATTTGGAGATAATAGGGGGAATCCTAAAAGGGGCATTGTGGACATTTGGAGATAATAGGGAATCTCACTACCAAGCTCACGGGGAAAGACAGGAAGAGGGAAAAGAGAAAGGGAAGCCTCTGCAAAATAATGTTCGGTTCTGTGGTTTAACACTATTTATGGCAGAAAACAATTGGGATTTGGAGGAACTTGATACATCTCTTCATAACCTTAGTCTGGAAGGTAAGTTAAACAATTTTTGTACAAATTGGTAGATGATTTTATTGATTTCTTTAACTGCTAGTTTTATCCATTGTTTGTCTATTTTATAAAATCTGTTGGTTTGTTATATTCTTAATTCACTTAATATCTTTCACATACTTCTTTCACTTTTGAGTCTGTATCCCATCTCCATGGATGTGGTCAGAACTTTCTGAGCAACTTCGAGCATTTGTAGTTTGCATTGAGTGCAAATTTACTTCTCACTTCTCTTTCATGGAAACTGAGACAGGTCTATAATTGGAGAACAATCTATTATCACTGGATTTAAATAGTGGTAAAATACGAGCAATTTTTGTTTGATCAGTTACAATGCCTGAGTTTATGGATATATTTATTGCATGCTTTAAGGGACTAGAAATAAGTTCACTTGAGCCTTTTACACGCCATATGGGGATCTCATCATAACCCGAAGCAATACCACAACGAAGACCATCTATAATTTCTTTTACCTCAGTTGTCCGTAACTAAATTGAAAAATATGGAATTCACCATTTTGTCCGTAAGGTATGACTTATAACAACAGGATGAATTATCGATATTATTTGGTAAGTTAGGGCCAATATTAGTAAAATATTTGCAAAAATGATCTGCAATTTCAACTGGATTGGAAATATTGCAGTTGTTAACAATAAAGTCGGTTGGTGACCTTTTTACAGATTTTTTCCTGTTTATTAGCTATTAAGAATTTTCCAGGTATTCTTTGTGCTTGTCTTAACATGCTGAGCCTATACGGTGATATTTCACTGATGCAAAAGCAGTCACCACCACATTGATCCGACACTATATGATGGGATGTATCCTCCACGTGCTCCATGTTTATAGATTTGGTATGTTGCTTAAGTAAGGTTTCAAAATTACCAGCACTTGAAGAAACCTTCCCTTCTGTGTGTAATTCAGTGGCAGGTCAGAGGAGGAATCGTCACTATACTGTGATGCATTGCGGTGGATTTTTTTCTCAATTCTGAATTTCGCGCGCGATCGACAAAATAATTGGGAGTTTTCATCAAATTTTTTCTCGCTGAAAATCACGAAAGTTTCAAAGGTATTTATTAAATATATGTTCTTGGGTATTGAGATTTACTATATAAATATTTTATTTGGGTTATTTGATACTTTTGGGGCGAATAATTTGCATATGTTTTGACCTATTTTCCGGGTCACTGCGCACGACCGGAAATTGGCTTCGATATATGATGGGGTCGTTTATAGTTTAAAAGAGAAAAAGTTGAAAAAAATCGTACCACTACATAGGAGAAGTTATTCTTTCAAATGATACCAAGAAATCAAAAACGACCCCTCAAACCGAGAAGTTAATGGCTTTTCAAAATGGGGTATTTAGTGCTTGATTTATTCAAACCAGATTCAAACTATGCGTAAACACGCGACATTCTGGTTACCGTGCGAAATGGCGCAAAAACACAATGATATTCAATTCATCATGCAATGGCCTGCAATCATGTTATTTTTCAGTTTTGATATATAGGAACATGAGTTCATACCCTTTATCAAATGTTCTTATCCATTTTCTATTATATTGATGAAGTATTAAAGAGACAATAGCTTGTTTAAGACTGATATTTACAGTTTATACTGGAGAAAGCAATGTTGTTTGTATTAATATAAATAGTATGATACCTCTGTGACTTGCTATGAAATGTAATCTTGTGATGTTGCTAATGAGAATACTGCTAAGTGTGTGTATATGTTTCGAGTAGTAATACCCAAGCAAGTGCACCTGTGATTTTTTATGTCGTCCGGCTGCGGGAACTCCTTATTGGCCAGGTATAGCATCTGGCTCATATGTTACATTTTTCAAAATGAAAGCTAGCTAAAATTATTGGGGGGGGGGGGCGATCGCCCTCTTATTTTCCACCACTGGAGTCAGGTATACAAGTAGGATTAAAGACCTTCACACAAAATAGGAGGGGTGAAGCAAAAATTTGGGGTTGAACACTTGGTGAGATTCTAGGGCACCCCCCCCCAGTAAATCTGCCCATGGGTGTGGTCACTGTGCTTTCAGTTTAAAAGGTTAAGAGCCCCCCTCCCTGTGTGTACTTTTGTTGAATTTCAGGATAATGATGCCGCATGGATATGTCATTTACATCTTATGAACTCCATTCACTAGCATTACTCATTAGGCTGTATTCTTGTCAAAATTATGCTATGAATGACCCCATAGTCATAATCACTTCATATCTCTCTATAATAAAATGGCCAATGTTCCATCAACACCTGATATATATTTCAGAACAGTACAATTAACTTGTTTCATTTTATCTTTCTGTCTTTCAGATAGTCGACTTAAAGGTCAAGGGTATACAATTCCTACAGAAAAAGATTTGTTTCCTTAGAGGAGGCTGAATCTCATCATATTTTGGCTTGTCTATATATGACAGTTTGGCTGAGCTTGTAATTGACAACAGAAAAGATCATTTTACCAAAACACACAAGCTTGTAAATGTTGAATCTGAGACATACAACCAAACAACATCACAATGCGAACTGAAACACCACAACCTGCAGACATTGGTCAATCATTGCCAACATTGGAAAGTGTATTAAAATTGGCAAGCCATTTGGAGAATACTCATAGCATCTCATTCATAATACAGACTCTCCAGTAAAGCAATGATAAGGCATATTTTAAACTTTATTCATACTTCATCAGTTTTACATTATTTCACATTACACCATAGTATATATTATTGACATTAAGCCATGCTGTAGTAATATGTAAAATAGGGGTGCACCAGAACCAATTTTTAAAGTTCCTGCCAGAACTGTGAAAAAGTTCTGGTCGGAACTGATTTATTAAGCCATGTATAGTCATATGTTACTTTGTCTGCTGGCAGATACTTCAAGTCATCAAGGAGGGCTCGCAAATGTGAGAATAAAAAGATTGACAAACTTTAAACATCATGTACATTTTCTTGTGTACAGTCCAAATTCCTTCCTACTGTGAACTTTTGTTTGACACAAAAACGTATGATATTCTATCTCTCTGAAAACAACAGAGTTCCAGCTCCGGTCATGCTTTTTTTATTAGTTCCGGCTGGAACTCTGAATAATCGGAGTTCGGAAGGCAGGAACTAACCGGCTGGAATCGAGTTCTGGTGCACCCACAATGTAAAATCAAAATTTTAAAAAATAAATAAGTTAAGCAGTTAACATGTAAATATATAAATAGGTATAAATAATTTTAATATTTAGTACTGTTTCCTGTTCTTCTAACCTTATACTTTCCATGCATTTTGGTTAAATGGAAATAGTGCAACATTTCATAAAATATGCTGTTTTATATTTTAAGTGCTGTTTTTAACAACAAAATAATTTCAAAATCAATTGACTTGTGTCTTTATTCTGTTTATAACCAGCGACCGTCGTGTGCCAGATCTGTATGTGGCTGCACATGCAGAGTTATATATTTTACCATTTATGGTTGTCTGTTAGTTTAATTTGTCTGATGGCATACAGACATACACCTCAAACCTGGGTATAAAAACTCTGTCTCATCAATATCACATGTACCTCTTCATCATCTTATCTGTTGACTCTCAGTGAGGTGGTAGATCTACTAAGCAGACAGAATTCATATGTTGATGGTAGCAATTACATGGTGCTTGTCTTTTTACTGATTTAGTGATGGAATACAGTATCCAACTCTTGACCATCACTTGATGGTGATCATGGTAGAATATCAAATTCCCACAAAATATTACATGTATTGAATATTCTCTTTGCCAGGGTCATCCAAGTCGAAGAACTAATGCAAGATATACAAGAACAAATCAGTTTTATATATAGTCAGAATAACTTCAGGAGATACTGTATAAAAGATTGTACAAATTCCTATATATATGCCTTAAAAATTTAAAGTGGCTTCCAAAACTTGTTATGATTTTAAATCTTTATCATGATTTGAAGTTTCCGTAGTGAATATTATTCCTGAAGTCGATATAACTGTTGTTAGTTACATTTATTATATATGGCAATTTTATAATACCCTATTAAAACATGGCAAATTTGATATAAATCTTATCCATATTTATCGAGGCTGTGCATGTTTGATGTTTCTACAAAGTTCGCTCGAATATCTACAACTTCAATATAACCTCTTACTGTGAAAAGCTCACCTTATATACACAACTAGAATGCATCATTCGGTAAACATTTGGGCAACTTTAACCCCATTCACAGTTGATAGAAAAATTGCATGGCTTCTCAGCTGAAACTAACGTTAATCTTACGGCACTGCTCAACACACGTTACTCCATCAGGGGCTAGATACAAAGGCTGTGAGGATCCAACAAACATAAATCAGATGAGGTGCTTCACTGCTTCCAAAAGAGAAGCTTTAATCCCATGCCATGAGCGAAAACTATGCGCCATTTTCTAAAACGATAGATTTTCTGAGATGTGTTTACAACGACAGCCAACGAATACTGAGCGAGCTGCGCCGGAGAATTGATAATATGTATACAATGGTCCAAAACCGCAATGCATTGTGGTATACTGACGAGACCTCCTCTGGGTTCGGATTAAATACTGCATGCAATGTTTGTCAAACTGCATGGAAGCTTTCTTGAAACTGAGACGAACTATAATTTGCCAACAGCATATTGCAGGAAAGATACAGGCACATTCTACTATGCCACCAAAAAATCCTTTTGTAAAATTATTCTACTTACTTCCGCTCCAGAAAAACAAGAACGCGCGGTTAACATCACCTTCGTGTAAACATTCTTCAAAGACTGTTAATGACGCCATATCGAAAGCTGCATACTGATAGGGTAGACCTTCAATATTTCGACCAATTAAAAAATTTTTATTGGTGTCCACTGGATGTATGACAGGCACAGGTGACCCCTTGTTATCCGTGCCTCGCAAATGAGCATCATAGTACAGTAATACGCCTAGGTCTTTCTTGAAGGTCATCATGACATAGATCCATTCTTCTAACACTAGCGCAGTTGCAGCCTGTACAAAGAGGAACAAACACTTTCTTAAAATACATGAATTAAATTGTATTCTACTTTATGCTATTGTATTCTGATTCCTTAAGTTCTTCAAAACAATTGTGAAACAAATTAAATGAGTTGAAGCTGGCTCGTTTGCCATGTTTAACAATGTAACTAGTGTCTTTTCGTTTTTTGTCAAACTCTTCCTTTTAATATTTGGTAAGTAGTGAATGTTCACGCCTCCCATGGAAGTTAGCCGAAGATTTGTTGGGGCCAGCGTGAGAAAATAAAGTCTATGTATGTATGTTTGTATTGATTGCACTCAATTGTATTCTAATCTAATGTATTAGCCATTCCGAAGTTGATGAGAGGACTGGGGACGAGTATTAAAAAGTGCCCAAATTAAGAAATGAACCAAGTCACTAAAAAGACCACCTTAAAATAGGTAAGTATACAAAGTTTGAAGATGTTTACATGAATACACTTCGAATAATATTTACTATGAAATGTGCTGCAATTTTTGTTTTTGGAGGACGCGCGTCCCAAAAACAATATTTTAATCTGTAATTTCAAAATTTTCGAAAACTTATCATTCGAAGTGTATTCAATTCATGTAAACGTCTTAAAACCTTGTATACTGACTAATTTTGAGGTGGTCATTTTAGTGATTTGGTTCATTTCTTAATTTGGGCACTTCTTAACACTCAGTCCACTCATCAACTTGGCGAATTGTAATCTATTGTATTCCATTATATTCTATTGCATATTGTAATCTATTGTATTCTATTATATTTTATTGTTTTATTCTATTGCATTCTATATTATAGAAATAATAAATGTTTATGAGTGCAATGGTAAAAATATTTTCATTCGGCGAAAGATGAATTTTCCATTCCGCGAGGAAACAGCCATGTGACAACACTAAAATCAGAGTTTAATAAAGTGCCATATAATATATTCTCTTCGGTATTCATTCCGTTTCATTGCAATCCATTCAAATCATAGATAGCTTATATACACTAGATAGTGTATCTAATTATTCTATAATTAAAAAAATTGAAGCCATGATTGCAAACTCAGGATATTCCCATGAAACGAGAAGATTCGTATGTTTTCTAGTTCTTAAACACGGAACTTAAATATTATAAAGGTAAACCTATTCCAAATACATTTTTCCCGAGCCGACGGCGCGAAGCGCCGTGCGGGTGTACTAATCCCCCCCCCCGGCTATTTACACCCGGGGAAACGAAAGCATTAGCGAAGTCTAAAGTTCATCAATGAGCGCGGGCGTCGGTCACCAACGATGGGTGGTCATCCTCACTGATCTCAAAACTATGGCGGACTGTCATGAATAACGGACACTGATTGATCCAATTTAAAGTTTGCATTATAACGACTGCATGACGACAGCAAAATAGCAAACATTTCTTGATTTGATGATTGATAAATTTCTTGCAAATATATTTCATTTTTGCTCGTATTTCGGCAAGATTTTATAAATTTCAAGAAAGAAAAGGCGAAAGAATCGGCTAAAAAAAGGGAGCCGACGTTAACGAAGGTAACTTTGTTTTAAATATTGATTTTATAATGGCTTTAAAACCCGACGGCTTTTGCGTATATGAAACAACTAAACAAGACAGCATATAATTTCAGTGTATCTTTAATATTGATTCCCTTTTTATTATATTGAATTTTTTAAATAAAAAATAAGCAAAGTTATTTGCAAGCGAGAATTTGAAATCATTTTATTGCAAACTCAAAGTTTATCGATAAAGCTATATATTAAATAATAGCTAAAGGTAGTTTAGTTTTATAAAGAACATTTTGGAACGTTTTGTGAATTGTTTGTGGTTGAATTTTACCTTAAATTGAAGCTTGTATTACGTATAATTACATACCTAACATATATATGTTGGGAAATTTATAATTTTGTAATTAAAAGTGATATTTTTAGGCATGACAACTACTTTAGATACTTCATGTTCGGAAAATACAATGGTTTTGTCAGCAAGGCGAGGGTTTCTGCATGCATGTATTTTCTAGTAAACTATTCAAATGATGCAAGTTATTGTTGTTTTTTAAGCGTTTATTAGCGAGTGGGAACTACCAACATGGCGGCCATCTATTCAAATGTGGGTAACCGCTGGAATATTCTTGGCTTCGATTTTACTAAAGAAGATGCGCTATCTAGTCTATATAAGATATCTATGATGCAAATGCATTTTATTCCATCCAATTCTATCATAAGTCGTGGCTGTCGGGAATCAAAATCATCAAGTCACAGTTGCCGATGTAAAATACATGCAGCCTGGGTATATTTTATCTTTTGCGTGCTTTATATCAGTCTTTAGTGATTGCAGAGATGAGAGATATGATGACACTGTGATTGCTTCGCGTAGCTTGACATGGACGCGACAGCTACGAGCAACTTTAAACCAGCATTACGCTCAACCTACTCTATATGTCATGTTCTTAGTGGTGACCTCAGCAACAAGTTTTTGATTTTCAACAAACAGTGAAACACCCCGAGTCTTTTCTCCATGACCTCCAGTGTCTAGAATGAACTTCGGCTCAGTATATCGATTCGCTGCCTCATCTATCTTCAACTTTGTGGCAAAGCTAAACCCTTTCGAGCAAAACTCTGTGTCATGCAGGCAATGTGACTCTTTGATATGGGTATCCATAAACGAAGTTGAGCCATCAAAATGTAGACCACCATCGGATACTCTGATCTCGCCATATACTGAGAGACTGGGGCTACCTGAGACTGATGAGCCGTCAAAAGATAACAATAGCCAAGATTGGATTGGCTTGACATGGGGAGCTAAATGAATGAGAGAAGATTTTACATGTTTTGCGCGATTAAATTAATATCACACGATTAAAATTGTAACATATTATCTACAAGATGTGTTCACAACAGGCTTGTAGCAAGCTTATCAACAAGTTGATATACAATCATATTTTGAATTCGTTCGCTAGTCTGGCTTATATATGAATGAATGCAAAGCCCAGTCGAATTGTAATCAAGACCCAACGTTTCGACACTCAATTCGACTGAGTATCGAAACGTTGCATGGGTGCTAATTACAATGCGACTGAGCTTTGTATTCTTTCATATAAACCAGAGTAACGAGCAAAAACATGATTAATATACCTGGTTGCTGTAAACAGGCAAACAAATTTTAAGTTGACACAATGTTGCTAGTGTTTCAAAGTTGCTACTAGGTTGTCGTTCACGACTTCTTGTGAAGTTGTTGAATTGCTGGATGGTGGCAAGATATTGGCACAACTTGTAACAAGTCTTTCAAGTTAACAACCTTGCAGCAATTTTATTGGCTACAAGCCGTTGGCAACTCCTCAACAAGCTGGGAACTAACAGTGCGAAACATCTTGATAACAAGCTGTTGAAGCATAAGTGGCAGTGTGGCACAAGTCTGCTGCAGGTTTGTTAAAAGTTGTGCGTTTTTTACATGTGCAGGCACATATAATCTGCCTTATCAATCATCTGTTTAGCACATGAAGAAAGAAGCAGACGGACTAGAATACCTTTATCTATACTGCCAATGGTTCGGAAACAAATGACGCCTGCCATTTCCCAAACTGCCCAGTTAATGCCGTATTAATTTACACACAATGACCAGAGGAGGTTGGACAGCAGGCCGCAAAGCATCATGGGTATTGAGCGCCTAATTCCGCGCGTGACTTCATTGACTGTTGACTGTCGAGGAGTGAACATCTGTCTGACTATTTAACCAATATGGAAGCTTTCGAACGACAAAAGTGTCAGGCTGCGATACTTTGTGAAAAGAAACAGCATGTTATTGCTGTATTGTTGCGATCATCATTATGACTTGTGTTTTACTATACCAAGTTTACCTTTTTTAAATATTTGCATGGGACATGTTGTCATTTTAGCTTGATAAATGCGTCTGAGCGAAGGAATTGTGTTATATTCCCAGTAGCGAGGCTCTTCTTTCTAACTTGGATGACGTTAAATCTCCGTGTATCATCAACGTGAAAACAAGCGCAATATTTAAGGTTGGTATACTACAATGCATTACAGTTACCTTGTTATTTAGTCAAATTATTATCCGCTTTGTTGTTTTTAACCTTGTACTGTAATTTTATAAATACACTGTACAAAATTAATATGGCGTAATATTTGTTTATAAATGCCTCTAGTTTGACCCTATTTGTGTGTGTCTGTGTACTGTGTCACTGTGATACATATGTTCATGCTTTGAGTTAAACAAATTGTTTAATAAATTTTTGCTGAAGTATAATGCCTGTTTGTATCTAGTTGTGGATAGATTTTTATATATATGTGCATACAATAGTGATATTTTTCAATTTTCATCTGTAAAATATTGCCATATTTGTGTGTTCTATAAATATTACTGTCAATAGTGACACACTTTTGCATTAGATTTCTAATTTTAGAGATTACAGTTTATGTACAAAATACTAAAATAAAAATTTTCTTGTTATGATTTTGTAGATTTAAGAGATCTACTTGAGTGGTTGGCTGGTCTTGAACCTGGTCAGCATGGATATGGTAATGAAGGTGATAGGGAAGAAAGTGGTGACCAGTTAAGTGATGAGGATGAAAGTGACAAGGACGAAATCACCCATGCTGTACCATTCAAGTGCATCGGTGCTGCTCATGAGAAAAAATACCAACATCAACAGCATACCTTGCTCTTCATGGACAAGATAAACCAGTGAATGTAAGAATATGGCCAGAGCCATTGAATCCAATGGACCCAAGTGCAATTGCAATTGATGTAGACTATGGAACTGGATGGACACACATTGGTTATCTTGTTTCTCAACTATGCGAGTATTTGCACCGACTAATTGCCACAGGAGATATCTTAGAGGTCTATGTTCAGCATATCAAGTATAGGGTTGACTTTTTTAAAATAGGATTTTATCAAAAAATTTTCATAAAGCGACGTGGTGAGTGGGAGACTCAAGTGGTAAGGGAGAGCACGAGTGTACGTTGACAGATGTTTGTGATATAATTGTAACTGACTAGGTTTAGCAAGTTATAGCAATGATCTTATTTCAATTAGGTAACTTTTTAGATTTTCATAAACAAAAACTAGGTTAATCATAAGTGGGTGTGCACAATTAAAATAAAAAAGTCTGTCATGCACACTCATGCCAGTGGCGTGCTGGCAGGGGGGCCGGGGGGCCACGGCCCCCCCAGCTGGCAATTCTTGGGGGGCGCAAAAATGAAAAGGGGGCGCCGAATTTTGAAAGTGGGTGTGAAAGTTGTAAATGTATTCAGATTACTAGATCAGTAAAGAATAGAATTGGGATTAGATTAATCGCTTGAAGCACTCTACTAAATTCAAACCAAATTTCAAATTTCGACACGTTACAATGCCGTTTTCTGACCATCAGATTTCTGTCAAGTCTTCCCCCAAAGTCAAGGAAATGGCATTTCAGAGACTCTAAATTCAAAAATTTTCCTGGGGGTCATGCCTCCGGACCCCCCTAGACAAACCTTGAACCTACGGCGCTCGGCTCGTGCCTTCTGCCCTCGTGTATCAAGCGTAACATTATAGGGGCGCATATTGGTTGACAATCCACTGGCCCCCCCAGAAAAATAGTACCCAGCACGCCACTGACTCATGCAATTAAGACAAGTACATAATTGTAACATGGGCTGTACTAAATGAAGAAATAAATAGTTTGTACATTCACTTGACCAACTTTGTGAGTAATTTTCATTTTTCATTAAAATTAATGCAACAATAAAACAAAAATATGTCTATTTATATACATATTGATCAAAGGTCCCACAATAACATGCTGCTGATACTTTGTGGTACATTACATGAGAATACAAAATAAACCTGCATATAATTGCACCTATCAATGTCAAGCCCCAGAGGGGGGTGGGTATATATATGTGGGGTATTTGATCATCATTGCATCCCCACTCTGGGGATTTTGGTTAGCATTTTGGGCCTGAGTTAGGGCAATTTGAACCAAAATGACTTTTATTAATATAGTATTTATTGCAAAATGGTGGGGGTGTTTGACCAATATTTATTACCTAACAGTGGGGCATTTGATTGAAAATTTGCTCAAAAAATCAAATGCCCCACATATGCCCAACCCCACCCCCTCTCTAGGGCTTAACATTGAAAGAACCACCATTTCTCAAACTTTATCTGAATTAGTTGTGTAACATCATTACAAAATACTGTTAAAAAAAGGCCAAGTGGGCCTTCACTCCTATAAAGGGCATTCTATCCAATGGCATCAGACCAACATCTCCATGGCGTTGTTCTCCAAAGCATCGAGCAGTGTGATAAATCAGATTGTCTTTTTGACCAGCATGAAGTACAGACATAGCCTTGGCAACAATTAAGTGGGAGAAAATTTTGAGGACAAATTTAGCATCTAAACCAGGGTTAACTTTTACCAGCCATTTTTGAAACAGGTGGATGAGTAGTTATTCTGGTTGACGCTGGGTTAGTTTTGAAAATCCAGAAGTCATACCAATAACATAACCAGAAAGGTGAACAAGGTTTTGGTCACTCGATGGAGAGACAATCATAGCATCGGAGATCTTGCAGATGTAGAAGGTCTGTACAGATTGGAAGGATCGATTTTACCTCCAAATTTAATGATGATGCTTAATTCTTGCAGACAAAATCATTGACAAAAATAGAATCCAGCCAAAAT